TTGTTTTTTGTTTTTAAAAAATGACCGATATGGGGATCTTAACCCTTGACTTGGTGTTGTCAGCACCACGCTCAGCCAGTGAGCGAACCGGCCGTCCCTATATGGGATCCGAACCTGGGGCCTTGGTGTTATCAGCACCGCACTCTCCCGAGTGAGCCACGGGCTGGCCCTGGGTAAGGTATTTTGAAAGCTGCTTCTGAGCCAAGTGAGGAAGGCTACTAAAGAAAGGAACTGAATATCAAAGGACCTTCCCAAGTTCCTTTTTTGTGGCCAGCTAAGAGCATACCACTCAGCTGCCTAGAGAGAAGATGTGGTTAGTCAGAAACTAACTCAGAATAAGCACGACCTGGGGATTTGGGTCTTGAGAGATTATTTTAAGAAACAGGCTTTCTGTTCCTTACCTAAGCTTAAGAAGAAACACCCCTGGTAGAGGAGGCAGATGAGAATAAAACCCACAGGGCCGGCCCTGTGGCTCACTCGGGAGAGTGCGGTGCTGATAACACCAAGGCCAAGGGTTCGGATCCCACATAGGGATGGCCGGTTAGCTCACTGGGTGAGCATGGTGCTGACAACGCCAAGTCAAGGGTTAAGATCCCCTTACCGGTCATTAAAAAAAAAAAAAAAAAAAAAAAAGAATAAAACCCACAGCTCTGTCTCATCCTTTCCCCCTTTCCAGCTATAGAGACAGTTCTTCTGATTTGGATAGGCTAGCTTTGTTCCCATACTGCTTTGCACATAGCAGGATCGCAGTATTTAATGAGTGAATGAATAAATGAATGGTATCGCCAGGCTCTGGACTTCAGAGGTTTCTTGGTTCCTGTGGTTTAGATGGGGAGAAAGGTCAGGATGGTTTGGATCCTAAAAGATTCAATGTACTAGGCCTATGTTCCTAGGATAAAGGCTGTGTATATTCCTCACTACTGCCCTGGCCAAGTCTCTCCCTACTTCTCTCTGAGAGGGCTTGGAGCCCCTATTGCCTTTCCTCTGAGGCCTGGGGAGGGTGAAAGAGAAGGTCAGTATGTGGTTAACATAATAGGTGATAGGATTGGCTGGGAGTCAGTTTGGCGAGAGTCCTCCAGGATGTCTGCGTTTGCCTCCAGTTGTTTTGGGGAAGCAAGAAGGGTACTTGAGACCTCAGTCTAGAGCCGACTAAACAGTGGACAAAGTATCTTCTTATCTTCACAGCAACCTTGAAGGTTAGCATTGTCACCCCCCAACTTTAGAGATGAAGAAGGCTCAAGGGAGATTACTTGTCCAATGGTCACATAATAAGTAAATGGCAGGAATGCAAAAAGGATTGTGGTCTGCCTGTCTGCAAACATACCTGCCTGTGCTGGTTTAGTGGGAAGTCACATCCTTGTGTTCCCTATTTGTCAGAAGCATCCACAAAGCACTTCTCATGTTATGACCTAGCTTCTCCCAAGTGTCTTAGCACTGGGCTGTCATCCAAGTTCAAACGCTGGTGATAGAACTGATAAGGGCCAAAGGCCAGCCTTCCTCCTAATCAGGAATAATCAGCAACAGTTTTATCCTTCTCATCCCTCTGATCGTATTATTCCATTCCAGAACTCAAAGTGTGGCTTCAGAGACTGCTGCCACAGTGGATAGGGATGGGGGGGTGGGGGGAAATGTGACGTGCTTCGCTCCTTAGAGGAAGCCCCACTGTTCAGCCTTTTTTTTTACTGCCTATTGAAGGTCAAGCCATCTGCCCCACCTGCTCAGCTCAAGTTAGCTTAAGTAAGTTCTGAAGTACTAGGTCTGAATCCCTGGACTCCTTGCTGCCCTTAAGTCTCAAGCTATTGTCAGTCCCCACTTGCACCCCAAAGGAGGATGGGATTTCTTCAAAGGGTGTGGCTTTTCCATAGGGGCCTGTTTTTGCTGTCTCCTGTTTCCAAGGACAGAAACATCCCAAGGTCGACAAGCAGGTGCTCTGCCTAGAGTTGGCCTGCAGGGGGCAGGAGCCATCAGAGTAGATGCCACACCTGGCCCTTTAAGACCAATGCTGGGCAGGGGCAGTGTGCCAAGTCCGTTGCATGTATTATCTCATTACTCCTCTCAAGAGCCCTATGGGAGGTGCTATTAGAATCCCCATTTTATAAATGAAAAAACTGAAGCTCAGAAAGATCAACACGTCCTCAATGTCACACAATTACTATGCAGCAGAGCAAGATTTGAACCCACGTCAGTCTGAATCTGCATTCCAAGCTCCTAACCTCTACATCAGTAGTCCTCAGAACTGCTGCAGGTAGAACTGCCTGGGGAGTACTGAAGAAAACCGATGCCCAGAGCCCACCTAAACCTAATCAGGGGCCAGCCTGGTGGCGCACTGCTACAGTGCGCTGCTTGAGAGCGCGGCGGCGCTCCCGCCGAGGGTTCGGATCCCACATACAGACCGGTTCCCGCTCACTGGCTGAGCGAGGTGCGGGGGCGACACCGAGGGTTGCGATCCCGTTGCCGGTCCCGGTCCGGTACGGGCGCGACACTGAGGGTTGCGATCCGTTGCCGGTCACGAAAAAAGACAAAAAGGAAAAAAAAATAATAATAATAAAAAAAATAAACCTAATCAGAATTTCTGGGCAAGCTCCCCAGTGATTCTCATGTATAGCCAGCATTGAGAACCTCTGCTTTATGCTGTGCTGCCTTTGAATGTATCTAGCCATTCAGATGATATGAATTGGGTTTGTACTTGGAGCCTAACCCATGCTGCCTTCTGGGGTCCCCAATGAGCCCTATCTTTTCAAAAGAGTCTGCAGATGGTCCGTTTTCTAGATTTTTGTCTACAAGTCTTCCCGATCTCCCAAGACCAAGTCACATTCCCCTCTCTCACCTTCTCAGAGTTCTTGTATTTCCCCTTTACAGCATTTATCTGAAATGTAACTAAGTAATTGTGTTTCTAGCTCTTTCATACCTCTTGCCCAGCCGCTAGAATATAAGGTCCCCTTGTTTATCTAGTTTTCCACAGCATTCCCAGAGCCAAGCACAGTACCTGGCACATAAACATTGGACAAATGATACTTCTTTTTTCCATTTTAGTAATTACTTATCAAGTACCTATTATGTACCACACTTTTCCACGTATGTTTTATAAGCAAGATCGGGGAAGCCCCATTTTCCAATGGAGGAAACTGAAGCTGAAGATGGGTGGGTGGTCACCCAGTCAGAAGCTGGAAGTGCCAGGACTCAACCCCAGGCCTTCCTACCCTTCCCATTCATCGGAGTCCATTGACCCTGACCCCCTCCACGCAGTGCTTCCTTTATGCCCTGTTTCCGTGAGACGTGTCTTTGAAGAAGGCATTTATGTTGGCTGCTTGCTCTTCCCATTCCAGTTCCCTGGCGTCTTCAACTGCTTTCCTGCCCTTTAGGCATCAAAACCACCCTCCTCCAGGCTCCTCCCTCTGTCCTCAGGGGGTCGCCCCTCCTCCATCTCCCCCTCCAGAGGTTTGGCCCAAATAAGGCTGCTGAGTAACTCCCCTGATTAAAGCATTCCGTGGTCGTCAGCAGCAGCAGCACCACAGTCGTCAAGAGCTATCCCGGGACCTCCTTCCAGCTCCCTAAGAGCCAGCCTGTGGCACCTCTGGGCAGCGCACCCACCTGTCTCCCTCAGTGGGGGTTCTGACTGGCCACCAAACCTGGACAAAAGTCCCTGGGAAAGGAGGCACTCAGGGCTGAAGACTCTTTGAGCTATGTGTGTAAGAGCTGGTTGCACCAGGGGCCTCCCAGTCTGTCTCTGGTGCCCCCTGCTGGAAAAGCTGGGTGCAGGGAGACATGGTGCCCCCTGCTGGAAAAGGGGACACTTCCTCTCCTGAGGTATCTATGGCTCAGGCTGTAGGTCTCAATTGGTATATCTGAGACTTGAGATGAGTTCCTATCAAAGCCGGAACCCAGAAGGACAAGATAGAGCTAGTCACCTAAAAAGTTCCAGCTGTGGGACCTTGAAGACCTCTTTGTAAAGGGCTGCCTCTCTGCTCTGTGCCCCAAGGAAGCTAGTGCAACATCCTCGCTCAGGATGAGGCAGAGGACGAGAGGTCGAAGACCTTGCTAATGCCCTGTGTGCCAGCGCTGCCTTCTGTGGGACCTTGAAGACCTCTTTGTAAAGGGCTGCCTCTCTGCTCTGTGCCCCAAGGAAGCCAGTGCAACATCCTCGCTCAGGATGAGGCAGAGGACGAGAGGTCGAAGACCTTGCTAATGCCCTGTGTGCCAGCGCTGCCTTCATCACGCCCCCCTCAGGGCCATGTCTTGGTTTCCCTTGGGTCAGAGTGATCTCAGCTGTTAGCCAGCTGTGCTTTCAGCCCCGGAGCCTCATCCCATTTCAATGACATGACAAGGCAAGTGTGAAAAATGGAGCGTGATAGAGATGTCATAAGATCTCCCAGGTCCTCAACTGGAGATGCCTGCTCTGGATCCAACTGGAATTGCCGCGGGGCAATGAGGATGCTCATCAGACTTACTGCTCTTCAGAAGGGCAAACATCTCCCTAGGTGCTTGTGTCTGTGTACATGCATGCGTGTGTGTGTGTGTGTGTGTGTGTGTGTGTGCGCGCGCGCACGCACACACACAAGGTTGGGAGCTGTGAAGTTCTCTGGCTTTGGGGGCCCAAACTAGCCTGCTTCCCCTTGTAGGTCTGCTGGCCTAATTCCCAGCTGCAGCTGCCATTCCGGGCCCCTCTCCATGAGGCAATCTCCCTGCAGATTTGGCAGCATGGAAAGGAGGGGCTGAGGGAAGGGGAAAGAACCAGAGAGAGAGGACTCAGCTCTAATCTGATGTAGATGATCCGGCAGCCTTCTCCAGCCTTGGCTGCCCTCTGCCATCAGCTATCTGGGTGATTTTCTCTGTGCCCACACACTCCCCATCTGCCTTCATCTTCTTAAGAAAGTGCCCAGAAAGTTAAACCCACATACACAAATACACACACAATCCACCAAAAAAAAAAATCAGAGAGCAGGAGCAGGCAGACGAGTAAGAGAGCACGCACGCAAGAGAGAGAGGCTCAGATCAGTCCTGGAGGAAGCACAACACAGACAGAGAGGCTGGGGTTGGCAGTGACCAGGACTAAGTTCTCTGGGCCCCCAAGGAGTCTCCTTCATGGACCCGTGGATCCCAAGAGGGGCTGCCTCAGCTTAGGATGGGCAACTGTGTCAAGTCTCCACTGAGAACTCTCTCAAGGAAGGTATGTTTCTGGAGTTCCCAAGACCTGGGACTGGGGATTGGGGTGTCTTGCCTCAGAGGGTGGGTACTGAGGAGGTGGATATCTGAAGCTTGCTACCCTTCCCATGGGTTCTGTCCGGAGCTGCTCTCCTGTTCCTACCTCCAGATATCCTCCTATCACAGTTTTCTATGTCCTAAGCTCTGAGCTGAAGTCAGGACTTAGAGCTGCATGTTGGGAGGAGGGTGTGTGTTTGGGAATTTGTACAAGATTTAGGAAAGAAATCATGTAGCTTTGGGGCTTCTGTGTTGTAATATAAAAAGTGTGGATTCTTAGGATATCGGTGGACAGACACCCTTGAAACTGGCAGGATCAGAAGACCCTTCAAGACTAGGGGCTGGCTTATTCATCTCCTTTGAGGGTCTGTGACCTTTTCGGGTGGTCGCTAAACCTTCAAAATTATGGGTTTTGAAGTAGAGCCCATTGTTACTGAAAGGAACTACCCAGGGTATCTGCTTCCACGCCCGATAATTCTTGAGCTGGGTCAGAGAATGTCAAGTAGAACCAGGCTGGTTCACACCCCAGGATTGTTTCCATTAATAGGATGCCAGGAGATATGCTGAGCAGAAGTGTATATAAGTTACTTTCTATTGTGGATTTATTGCTTATACATTAGGATAATATTCTTTTGTGAGATTTCTTTTTGGAAAGCAAATAATCACCTCTAAAGCACTTTTTATGTAAGTCTGGGCTTGCATCTCTAGGGTTTTGCTTCAGCTGGGCCCTGCCTGTATTTGTAGCCCTCTTCAGACCATAGAAGAGACTCGTGCATATTATCTAAATGAAGAAGGAACGATAGGGATGTTTTCCTTCAGTTCTTCTATTTTCCAGACAAGGAACTTGATGGCCACTCAGAGGGGTTAAGTGACTTACCTAAGGCCCCAGGTTAGCTAATGGTGCCTCTACCCCCCAACTTTATCCTACCTCTGGTCAGTTTGACAGCCTCTCAATTTAGGACAATTCAGGCTTTTCTGCTTGTCATCTCCCTCATTTAGTTAAGCTGCTCACATCAAATTCTTTTTAATCTTTGCTGTTCCTTGGATCCTTCTAGGGCCGATTGTTTCTTCTGTACACCCCTCCCCTCCATAATCTGTCATCTTCTTAAGGGAGTCTTCTGCATCAGAAGTGGCCTTATGCTGTTTCAGAGAAGCAGAAACTGATCTGAATTAATCTAGAGGAACACAAGGCTAAAGTCCTTGTAATGAGTTCTGTTCAGAGCTTGAAGAGATGAACTTGAGAACAAAAATTATCCTTCTGTTCCACCCACCCACTTAAGAACTCTTACACAGCAGAGTTCTTAAGAGTCAGACTACTCGGTTCTCCTCTTTCCAGCCACGTGACCTTGGGCAAATTATTTAACCTCTCTTTTCCTCCGTTCCCTTGTCCATCAATTGGGGATACTAATATCTACCTCCTAAGGTGATTGTGAGAATTAAATGAAGTAAGAATTAAATGAATGATTCAGCACAGTGCCTGGCATATAGTACTCAACAAATGTTAGTGTTATTGTCATCATAATTTTCCACTCTGGGTTTTAGAGAAGAGAGATGCAGGAGAAAAGGAAAATAGGAGAGGTTTTGAGTTCACAGGATAAGGTAAAGGATTGTGAAACTTATTGCATCCAATTTCGTGTTTTTAAAAGAATAGTAATAATTGCTTTGTTCCTGAATATCTTCAACATATCTAGCATCTGTTATCTCATTTGTTCTTTTCCACTAAGTAGTTCTCTTGGCTCTTTTATAGAGAAAGGAGCTGGACTCAGACATAAGAGCCTACCTAAGGTCACACGGTTGACAGGAAGCAGAGCTGGGATTTAAACCCTGGTCTGTGTGAAATCAGAGCTGGTATTTTATTTTTATTTATGTTTCCCTTATGAGAGGCTGCCTCTCTCTTTCTCCTGCTGTCATAAATGTTATTCATAGATTCCTGAATCTGACCTTAGAGTCTAGTCCAAATTCCCACCCCATGAAGCAGTCCCCTCTCCCACCTCATCAAGAGCTTACTCATTCAACTTCTTTAATACTGTCAGTGAGACAAGGCTTTGACTTGCTTACTCTTGGCCAGCTTGTGTTGTTAGAAAGCTGTTAGGCCATGAGGCATGCTGGCCCCTCCTGTTGCCACGCCACACTTAGGAGATGTCCCCTTTGTGCCAGGAGACATTGTCAGCCTGTGGGCCACTGCCCACTTGGCTTCCTGAGTGATAACTGGAGAACTGGTAATGGCGAGAGGCAGCCTGCTCCAGGCCCTGTGCTGGACAGGACCAGGCTGTCAGGTGCCATTACTGGCCAGAGAGGAACTGCAGCCTCCTGGGCAACTTGGTGCCAGGCAGCATTATGATCAAGAGGTGCACTGGAAATTCCCCAGCCACCACTGGTTTATTCTTCATGGGAACAAATCCCTCTCCATCCTCATTTCTTTTCTAACTGGCAGATGTTTCCCCACTTCCTCTGGAGCCAAAAGTAAAATGCCTTCTGGCACCTGGCATCTCTTAAGTTGCATTGTCCTCACCACCACCAGTATCATCATCATCATGGTGTCATCATCGTCATCACTGTTGTTGTCGTCGTCATTTTGTTATCACTATGGCAACTCCATTTATTCGGCTCTTACCATGCTCTAGGCACAATGCAAACACTTTCTGTGTGATAGCTCATTTATTTCTCACAAGAATCCTGTGAGTGGACGTGATTATCCCTGTTATACAGAAAAGGAAACTGGAGCACAGAGAGGTGAAGTGACCTGCCCAAGGTCACATAGCAAGCAAGTGGCAAAGGAAAAATTTGTCCAAAGCCAGCATACTAAACTGCCACTCAGAATTCTGCATCACCTAATGCCTCTCCTTCCTGGGTTGTGCTCACTCTGAACCAAGTGCACAAGATTTAGTCAGAAACTAAAAGGCTGATTTAATACATCTCCTGAGACTGTCTACTGGGGTTAAGACATTGTCTACCTCAAGGCTTTCTTTGATCCACCCTCATTTGGGAGGGTCTCTCTTGTTCTGCCCTACCTTTAGCCTAGGTCCCAGAAGTCTGAGTGAGTGCAGCTGAGGCTCTGAGTCTTACTTCTTTGGGACGTCATACCAGAATGGGCCTTTGGTATGCCTGACATCCCTCAAGTTCTGAGATTACCTAAAACTGATCCTTGCTGTACTAACTGAACTTGAGCCTTGGGCTGACTTTCTTTGCTTTGGGTCTGAGTTGCTGCTTCCCCTTTGAGGAACCAGAATACTGCCCCTCCCTCTCTAGAGGCTTAAGAAGTTGGGTGTCTCTGTTGTAGCCCCAAAGTGTGGGGCTTTTGGGAGAAGAAACACAAGAGGACAAGGTGGCAAGGGGTGAGGGGGTGGGTGGTTTTGTTTCTCAGACTGGGAGAACAGGCTGCCCCTAGGTGTTGGAATCTTCTCGTAGGCATGGCCTTCTTTGAGCTGGAGGAATCCAGCTGGAAGTGGAGTGAAGCAGGGCTGGAAGGGGAGGGAAGAGTACGAAGCTCTGGGATTCTTGGACAAAGTCAGCCCTCAGGGTTTCATCTACCCTATCTCTCCTTGGGAAGGAAGTTTCTACTCCAAATCCCCACACTGAGAGGAGGCATCCAGGCTCAGGGCTGAAGGCAGCGTGCTGTGACCTGGACTCTGGAGAGGCACTGGGCATCCTGGGGAGGCTGGGATAGAGCCGAATGTTGTGTCTGGATGTTGCTGTTGTCCTAAGGGGACGGTCTGTGGGCAGTGCTAACTTTTTATAGCTGCATGGGAACCTTCAGAAAGGAGGATGGGTTGGCCAGGGCCTGGGAGCGGAGCTATATATGGTAAGTTGAGAAGGCCCCTGCCTCAGCCTCTAGAGCTCTGGCAGGCTGGGCCAGGCAGGGAGCCAGGGAAGGCGGGAGAGAGGAAAAGAACCTCTGGATGTCAGTGTCTAGTCTTGAGGTCGCAAACTAGGCGAAATTCGATGCACAGATATTTCTTGTTTAGCCCACTCAGTGCTTTAAATCAGGAGATCTGGCAACACTGGGCTGGAGTTAAGTAGCACTGTCCCTTCAGAGGGGGCACACACTCTCGGTTTTGCCCCAGTCCCCACTTCTTACACCTGCCCACTTCATTTATGTCAGCGATGGTGCCTTATTTGCAACCTCCCGTCTGCAGATCAGCTGAGCCTCTTCTCCGTGTTGCCAGCTCCAATTGCCCTCACAGCCTTCCAATGCACATCCAGCTGGGGTAGGGGCAGAGTCAGTTTGGGAGCTGGAAAAAATGACTTAGCCCGGGTATTGAACTGGGACATTGGGAGCATTTAAGGAGAGAATGTTGTTCTATTAGGCTCTGAGTGAACACTTCCCATTAGTTAGAACAGAAGCCTCCCTCTGCTCTCTTCTGCATGCACATGGGTGTTGTGATCCTATGCATATGTATGTGTCAGTATGTGTGTGCGTGTGTATGCATGTGCCATGCAGTGGGTATCACACCTAGCTCTCCCTGGAACATCTGTTTCAGTCAAGGATTGGAGACTCCATCTGTTGGACCAATTTGATGCCTGCCACGTGCATCCTGAAGGCTCTCTGAACCCTACCACTTGCGTCTCAAGGGTCTTCTCTTGAGGAGAGCCTCTTCTGGGGCCAAGAGGGCCCAGTTGGACAGGAAGGTGATGCCCTGCCTCTCTTTTGTATTTGCTGGTGCTGGCTAAAGATGCGCCAGGAGGAGAAGAGCAGCTACATGGTGGTGCAGATGAGTGATGAGGCGCTGGCGGCCGGCACCGAGCTCCCTGGACCACTCCTGATGCTGGCCCAGAACTGCGCTGTCATGCACAACCTGCTGGGCCCTGCCTGCATTTTCCTGCGCAAGGGCTTTGCTGAGAACAGGCAGCCTGTACGTAAGTTGGCCCAGGGGAGCACACTGAGCTTGGCTTCACCTGGCATGAGGAAGTGTTGGGAAAAAGAGGGATCCTGTACATAACAGTCCCTGTCCCCCAGTGAATACACCTCAAAGCCCCAACTTGTGAATCTGATCCCCAAAGTTTCTCACTCATGGCTGCAAAGTGATGGTGAGTCCATATCCACCAGCAAGAAATAATAATGGCAAATAAAGTTTTCTGAGCACTTACTATGTGCCAGGTGCTGTTCTAAATATGTTGGTGGATTGCCTCATTTAAGCCTCAGAGAAACTAGAAGACAGGTACTTTTATTGTCCCCATTTTACAGATGAGGAAACTGAGTTGGAGAGGTAACATGCTTAAGGTAACAGCTAGCAGGAGGTAGAGGTGGCATTTAAACTCAGGTAGTCTGGGCTGGCCCGTGGCTCACTTGGGAGAGTGTGGTGCTGATAACACCAAGGCCATGGGTTCAGATCCCATATAGGGATAGCTGGTTAGCTCATTGGGTGAGCATGGTACTGACAACACCAAGTTAAGGGTTACGATCCCCTTACTGATCATCTTTTAAAAAAAAATAAATTAAAAATAATAAATAAATAAACTCAGGTAGTCTGATTCAGGAGCCTCCTTTGCTCATAGGGATAGCTGGTTAGCTCATTGGGTGAGCATGGTACTGACAACACCAAGTTAAGGGTTAAGATCCCCTTACTGATCATCTTTAAAAAAAAAATAAATTAAAAATAATAAATAAATAAACTCAGGTAGTCTGATTCAGGAGCCTCCTTTGCTCTTTTTTTTTTTTTAAAGATGACCTGTAAGGGGATCTTAACCCTTGACTTGGTATTATCAGCACCACACTCTCCCAAGTGAGCCATGGGCTGGCTCTCCTTTGCTCTTATCAATTCTGTATACACGGAACTATTTGGTAGAACTTTCTATGACGAGGGAGATATTATAAAATCTGTGCTGTCCAAGGCTGGCTGGTTAGCTCAGTTGGTTACAGAGAGGTGTTATAACACCAAGATCAAGGGTTCGGATCCCTGTACTGGCCAGCCACTAAAAAAACCACAAAGTAATAAAATCTGTGCTGTCCAATATAGTAGCCACTAGCTACATGTGGCTATTGACCACTTGAAATGTGGCTAGTGCAATTAAGAAACTGAATTATTAATTTTACTTCATTCTAATTCGAATTTACATGTGGCTTGTGGCTACTGTATTAGATAGCCTCCTACCGGTATCTGAATTGTCCCGGGGATGAGGGTAATAATGATGTTACAAACATTTATAGCGTGAAAAAGAGAAACCTTAGACAAGTTAAACTGAACAGAGTTTAACTGAGCAAAGAAGGATTTGGGGATCGGGTAGCTCTCAGAACCAGAACAGGTTGTAAGAACTCTGGCCTGCAAGGAGGTCAGGCAGCATTTATGGACAGAAAAATGGAAGTGAGGCACAGAGACAGCTTAATTGGTTACAGCTCGGAAATTTGCCTGATTTGAATCAGTTGGCCACCCGCAATTGACTTAAACTCAGCCACTGGAATTGACTGAGACTCAGTTATATGCTACAAGAGTGTACTCCTAAGTTAGGCTTTTAGTTAGTTTACATATGAAGTCAGGTTACAGTTTGTCACATCCTCAGGGCCAAATTTTGCTTGTTTAACAGTAGGTTCCATTTATTGAATGCCACATGCTAAACACTTTACATAGCTTGTCTTATAGAATGCTCACAAAGGCCCTGTGAGGTGTGTACCTGTATTGACCCATTTTATTTATTTATTTATTTATTTATTTATTTATTTATATTTATTTTTTTTTAAAGATGACCGGTAAGGGGAACTTAACCCTTGACTTGGTGTTGTCAGCACCACGCTCAGCCAGTGAGCGAACCGGCCATCCCTATATGGGATCCGAACCCGGGGCCTTGGTGTTATCAGCACCGCACTCTCCCGAGTGAGCCACGGGCCAGCCCCGACCCATTTTATACATAAGGAAACTATGGCTTAGAGAGCAGAAGTGACCTGCCCAAGGTCCCATAACTAGGAAGTAGCAGATCCGGGCTTTGTACACAGGTCTGTCTGACCCTAGGGCCAACCACATAAATTGGGGAGAAAGAAGTGTGCATGCACTCCATTCCCAACTGACCGCCTGAGCTGTGCTGCACAGTTTCCCTGCTACATCACTGGGCATCCCTGGCTTCACCCCAGAGCACAGTGCACATACACCCACTGCTCCACATGGGGGAGTGTAATCCAAGGACCAGCCACTAGGGCCCAGCAGACCAGTTTCTGCTGTAGGCACACTGCGAAGGGGGGCCTGAGCTGTGCTGCACAGTTTCCCTGCTACATCACTGGGCATCCCTGGCTTCACCCCAGAACACAGTGCACATACACCCACTGCTCCACATGGGGGAGTGTAATCCAAGGACCAGCCACTAGGGCTCAGCAGACCAGTTTCTGCTGTAGGCACACTGCGAAGGGGTACCTGGCTTGGCTGATCCCTGGGTTCTGGGTTTCCAAGAAGTGTGGAAGGGGCTGCAGTGGGGTCTGAGGCACCCATTCCTCCCCAGTCCTGCAGGACCGGGCTCTGGAGAAGTGGCAGGCCACTCGAAGCCTGATGGGTGGAAAAGGGCTTGTGATATCTAAGTAGCTGGTCCTAGTGGGTATACTCTACACGTATGTGTACATGCGTATACCCCACTTACTCACTTGCTTTCAGTTACTTGTGGTATAACACATTGCAAAAAATGTCCTTTTTGGTCACGCCAGAACATCTAGGAACATGTGGGTATGTCCAGGAATAGGAGTGACATACCCTTGCACCATGCACCATGACAAGCTTTTTAAGTGAAAGTCCACGCAGACATCTCCCAGAAACATGCATCCCTTCAGGTGATTCCTACCATCAGCTAGAAATGTCGCCTTGATGACCTGTGAGCTTGTAGCCTATTCATTCCAAGCTCACACACACTGTCAACACTGTCCTGCCACAGATAGTCACCTGTGAGCTCTGGGTCTTGTGCACCTGGTTGTCCCAAGGAACTGCTGTTCCTTCTAGATGATATCCAGATTTTCCGGTGCCAGTGTCTCTTGCCCTGGGGCCAGTGTGGAGGGCGTGGGCAGCCACTGTCTCTACCCACCCTGGCCCTGTTGGCTGGAACAGCCTGTGTGCACAGCTGAGATGCCTCACGCTCACTGTGGCATGCCTGCATGTCTGTGTTCAGGATAGGTGTGAACCTCCTCAGGGTGGGCACACCTGCCTCATATTCTTCTGACCAAAGGCAGAGAGCTGTAGCACTTGGGCAGATGGGCCCTGTGGACCAGTTTTGGACCAGTTTACAAACCAGGTCCAGCTGAACACCTGTATCCATTTTGTGCCAGTCTGTCTCCCTCCTGGGCAGGCCTGGGGCCACTGGCACCTCACCAACCTGAGCCTGGCCCATGCTGCCTCTGGGTCTGATCTGGAGACTTCTCTGTCATCTGTTCTGATGCCCAGACTCAGGGTTTCCTTGACTCCCCAAGGAGACCTGGACACTTCTTGAGGCTGGAGTCATGTGCTTTGGACCTTGGTAGTGGCCAGAGACACTGGCAGCCACCAGGGTCCTATGCTGTGTCCTGTGACAGAGCAAGGTGTAGGGATGGGAGTCAACTATGCCCAGGAAGCAGGGCACAGCCCCAGTTCTGCCTCCACCTCTCCTGGCTCCTCCTCTTCTGCTTCCTCCCTCTCGAGCTGCCTGCTTATTTCCAGTTTTCTTGCCCCTCCAGGCCCTCTTCGCCCATTGCCTTGTAGCCCTCTGCTCCCCTACTCTTCCTCCTTTCACTGGGTGGCACGCTCTTCTCTCTTTTGTGACCTCCCCCGACCGTTTTATTTACAGGTTTTTGCCTCCAGACCAACTCTGTTCCCCAACCCGTACCTGTGGCTGGAATAAATGGAAGGGGGCACAGAGGTTCTGTGCCCAGGCTGGGTGGGACTGCTGCATCCTTGGGCATCTCCTATCGAGGGCCCAGGAGCTTCCAAGGAGAAGTGGGGCTGCACCTTTTCCCCTCAAGGACGTGATACAGACACACCTCTGCTGTGTCACTATAACCTCCCACCCAGTGCCTGCTGCTACTTGGATGGCCCCCAGATTGGGCACTTTGTGACTTCTAGGTCCCTTGTCACTGTTAATGGGACGTGTTCTTTTGTTTCAGGACAGATCACTGCGACCAGAGGAGATTGAAGGTAAAACTGTCACCTTAAGGGAAGGAGGTGCTCAGTGCTCCTAGAAGGTGCAGGGAGGGAGGCTGGTAGGAAGAGAGGCCTCCTGGGAACAGGGTCTGGCACAGAGCAGGGCGTCTCTGTGAGCCAGCCATTAGGGGAGTGAGCAGGGAGCAACAGAAATGCCCCAGGGTCCTGGGAAGTTCCTGAATCCCTCTCTCCAAGCTTGTGGGTCTTGGGCTGCCTGTGCCCCCAGAGGCTCTGCGGGTTCTACCCGCTTCCACATCAGCCTTTGTTTGCTTCCCCAGAGCTCCGAGAGGCCTTCAGAGAATTCGACAAGGACAAGGACGGCTACATCAACTGCCGGGACCTGGGCAACTGCATGCGTACCATGGGCTACATGCCCACCGAGATGGAGCTCATCGAGCTGTCCCAGCAGATCAACATGAACCGTGAGTCCCTCCACTAGGTGCCTCCTGCCCTCTGGTCCTCGCCCTTGCAGTCCTCTGCAGCCAGACAGGCCTAGGGTCCAAGTCTGTGTCCACCTCTTCCCAGCTCTGTGACCTGGGGCAAACTACTCACCCTCTCTGAGCCTCAGTTTCCTCACTTGTAAAATGAGGGTGGTAATAGGGGGAGTAGAGCATGAGAAATAAATTAGGGAATATATGTAAAATAGCCCAATACCTGGCTCATAGTAAGGATTGAACAGAGACGTGCTGTTATTATTGTATTTCTCTCTGTCTTAGTTTGGGTTCTCCCCTAAGCAAGCCTGAGACAAGGATGTGAGAGCAAGTGGTTTATCTGGCAGGTGAAGGAAAGCATTGGTAGAGAATGGGGAAGTGAGACAGGGGAGGAGCCCACACAAGGTAGACTCTCAAGCCAGCTGCCAGTGTGGGTGACTGTAGTCTTTCATGCTGTGGAACTCAAGGAGTTGGTATAGAATGCCCACCTCAAAGTTATCCCCCAGCCACACCTCTCCTGCTGGGTATTTATCCCCCAACTCCTGTCAGTCACTGAAAGCTGTTATGAGCAGGTGCGTGGGTGCCAGTTCAGCTCTTCTGCTTGCTGCAAGAGCCACTTGTGAGTTGAGCTTTTATTTGCACAGCAAGGGGAAGGCTGGGGAGGTGTGGGCCAGGTACCCATACCTTCTGTTTCTCTGCCTTTCTGTGTGTGTGTCTCTGTCTTTCTATCTCTGAAATTCTTTGTCTGTCTCTGTGACCCAATGTTTCTTTCTCCCATCCATATCTACTTCAAACCACTTCCTGACCTCTTCTCTTAGTAAACCCCTGGCTACTCCCCTGAGCCATTCTTTGACAAGTCACCTGTCTATGATCACCTCTCTGTCCTCATTTGCCCTTTGGTTTTACCCTGGACCTGGTGATGAGCAGATCAAGGAAGAGTTGACAGTTCCATTGGTTGCCTAGTTGGAGATGGGGAATGGGTGAATCGAGGGTGACCTAGCCCTTTCCTCTTTCTCCAGTGGGTGGCCATGTGGATTTTGATGACTTCGTGGAGCTAATGGGGCCTAAACTCCTGGCGGAGACAGCAGATATGATTGGAGTCAAGGAACTGCGAGACGCTTTCCGAGAGGCGAGTAATGGGCAGTGATGGGCGGGGTGGGTGGGCTGTTAGAATCCCAATCCCAGGATGGCTGCCTGAAGCCTGAGCCCTGAGTCCCAGACCAGGGGAGAGAGCTTGGACAGAGAAGGGTCTCTGGGGAAGGGGAACAATGACTCTGGAGAAGGAGCTCAACTTTGGGACCTGCTGCTACCAGCCTCTGTGTTGTAGCTCTCTCCTTCCTTCCTGTACTCTCTAGTTTGACACAAATGGTGATGGGGAGATAAGCACCAGTGAGTTGAGAGAAGCCATGAGGAAGCTCCTGGGTCATCAGGTGGGACATCGAGACATAGAGGAAATTATCCGAGATGTGGACCTCAATGGAGATGGACGAGTGGACTTTGAAGGTAGGTGGGGCTTGAAAGTGGGAGAGAAGCAAGCCAGCAGTGGCCATCCGTGGAGGCCTTCAACTCTGTGTCCTTCACGCAACCATCAATCCACCCTAACTTTCCATCCCCTACCCTTCCATCCTCCCATCCCTCCATCCATGCATCCCTGTAATTCACCCCCCATCTCTACACCCATCTAACTATCCATGCATCTCTCCATCTATCCACCTATCCATCCATCTGTCCATCTTTCCGCATCTGTCTCTCTGTCTTTTCATCTCTTCATCTCTTTGTCTGTCCAGATGCCTATTTATCCATTCATTCAGCTCTAAATCATTCATACAACCATGTATCCATGCACTTATCTATCAATTCATGCATCAATTCATCCTTCTATACATTCATTTACCCATGTATAAGTATTCATTTACTCGTGCACATCTCTCCATCCATTCACACTTCTATGCCTCCATTCATATATCTCTATGCATCTGCCTGTACTTCTACCCATATTTCCATTGATCTATCCATCTGTCTGTTCAGTCATTTCCCCATCTGTATTAGTCCATTTCTGTTGCTTATAACAAAATACACAGAACTGGATATTTTATAAAGGAAACAAAATTTATTTGCTTACAGTTTCTGAGGCTGGGAAGTCCAAAATCCATCTGATGGTGGTGACAATGACCCAGGCGTTTCACATTGCAAGATGGTGGAATCAGAGAGAGCAGAAAGAGAGAGAAAGACAGACTCTCCTCTTCTTTTAATGCCTTCAGAATCACACCCCTGATCACCATTTTTAATCCATTCACTACTGCACGGTCCTACAATCCAATCACCTCTTCAAGGCTCCACCTTTCAATTACCCTAATATGATTTCCCACCCTCTTAGCAGTCACAGTGGGGACCAAGTTTCTTTCTTTTTTTTTTTTTTAAAGATGACCGGTCAGGGGATCTTAACCCTTGACTTGGTATTGTCAGCACCACGCTCTCCCAAGTGAGCTAACCGGCCATCCCTATATGGGATCCGAACTCGTGGCCTTGGTGTTGTCAGCACCACACTCTCCCAAGTGAGCCACGGGCCGGCTCCAGGGACCAAGTTTCTAATACATAAAACTTGGGGGACACAATTCAAGCTTCAGTGAGTTTTGGGGGAACACAATTCAATCCACTACACCATCTACTCATCCATTCATCCATCCCTGTGTCCATCTGCCCCCATCCATCTCTATCCATCTGTCTGTCCAACCCCTCATGCATCCATCCACAATAGGTATCTTCTGAAGACACCACATTCCTCAACCCAACACTCAGGCCCCCTAAGATCATCTGACCTAAGTTCACCTCTCCAGCCACAGATCCTACCATTCCTTCACTCACACTCCACCAAAATATTTGTGATCCATGAACCTGCTGGGCTGTCTTTTGAATTTGCTGTTCTTTTTGCCAAGATGCCTTTTATTCTTTTTTTCACTTGAGCTAAATTCTGTTCATCCTTCATGGCCCAGCGGTGGGATTACTTCCTCCAGTACTTCTTCCCTGGTTCCTGAGACTGAGCTTCCCTTTTTCTGGGCTTTCACAGCACTTCGAGCTCACCCCATTCTTTACCCTGTCCCCTAACTGCTGGTTATAGTTGTCTTCCCATTGACTCTGAACTTTGAGAGAAGAGGAAACCTGTTTTTGTTTTTGCTTTTTTAATCTCTGCATTTCCTATATAAATAAGTACCTGGCACATAACTAATGTTCAGTAAGAGTTTTTTTTAAGGAATCAATAATAATCATAATAGTTATCATTTATTGTACACTTATTATGTACCAGTCATTGTACTAAGTAGCTTTACGTATATTATCTCATTTAATTCTCACAATGACTCTATGGATTGCACTATTATTACCTCAGGTTACAGATGAGGAAATTGAGGCTCTGAGAAGTAATATAAATTGCTCAAGATTGCCTAACTATTAAGAGGCAGAGCTGGGTACAAACCCAGGCCTGGAATTGTAACTACTATGTAATCCTGTGCGTGACACTATTATGTTATGGGATACAGGGGAAAAGAAATAAAATATTGGCTCTGCACTCCAGGAACTTGCATTCTGAGCGGAAAGACAAGATAAACATGTGCCAGACTGTGAGCGTGTCCAAAACACAAATGTTTGCAGCTTTTCTCTGGGGAGTAGCTGGTCTTCAAGGGGGGGAGAGTGTGAATAGATGAAGAGAAGGCTTTGCCACCACCAGATCTGAAAATCTCAGTTTGACCTGTGTCCGGGTAGTACCCACTACAGATGACAGCCCTTCCCCGAAAGTCCAGCATCCCCCATTCATTCTACCAAGATGTATTGTATACCTGCTATGTGCTGAGACCTGATCTCTGCCTTGAGGAGCCCAAGACCAGCAAGGTGGCCAGTTAGCTCCGTTGGTTATAACACCAAGGACAAGGGTTCATATCCCCCTACTGGCTAGCGCCAACCCCCCCACCAAAACCCTAAACAAAACAGAAAACAAACAAAAGACTAGCAAGGAAAACAGAGAAACAGTGTAGTCCCTGCTGGTTGGGGTAAGTACAGAGGACTGTGGTGTATAAAGGAGGCATCTGTGCTAAGCTGGGGGCAGGGATTAGGGAAGACTTCTTGGAGGAGGTTATAAATAAGCAGAGCCCTGGAAGATGAGTAGGAGACACCAGTTGAAAAAGAAGGGACAGGGCCGGCCCGGTGGCGCACTGCTACAGTGCGCCGCTTGGGAGCGCAGCGGCACTCCTGCCGAGGGTTCGGATCCCACATACAGACCGGTTCCCGCTCACTGGCTGAGCAAGGTGCGGGCGCAACACCGAGGGTTGCGATCCCGTTGCCGGTCCCGGTCCAGTACAGGCACGACACTGAGGGTTGCAATCCGTTGCCGGACATGAAAAAAGACAAAAAGGGCCAGCCTGTGGCTCACTCGGTAGAGTGCGGTGTTGATAACACCAAGGCCCCGGGTTCGGATCCCATATAGGGATGGCCAGTTCGCTCACTGGCTGAGCATGGTGCTGACAACACCAAGCCAAGGGTTGAGATCCCCTTACCGGTCATCTTTAAAAAAAAAAAAGAAAAGAAAAGAAAAAGAAGGGACAGATATTTACCCAAATGAGTTGAAAATTTATGTCCACACAGAAACCTGGACACAGATGTTTATAGCAGCTTTATGCAAAATTGTCAAAACTTGGAAACAACCAATGTGTCCTTCAATAGCTGAATGGATACATCAACTGTGGTACATCCAGACAATGGAATATTATTCAGGGATAAAAAGAAATGAGCTATCAAGCTATAAAGAGACATGGAGGAAACTTAAATGCATACTACTAAGTAAAAGAAGCCAACCTGTAAGGCTACATACTGTGTGATTCCAACTATATGACATTCTGGAAAAGGTGAAACTATCGAGGTAGTAAAATGATCAATGGCTGCCAGGGGTCGGGGGGAGGGAGGTATGAACAAGCAGAGCACAGAGGATTTTTAGGACAGTGAAACTATTTCTTATGATATGGTAATAGTGGATACTTGTCTCAATCCATAGAATGTACAACACCAAGAGTAAACCCTAATGTAAACTATGGACTTTGGGTGATAGTGATGTGTCAGTGTAGGTTTATTGACTATAACAAATGTACTGCTTTGGTGGGGGATGTTCATGGGAGGGGCTGTGTCTGTGTGGGGGCAGGGTCTATAGGAGAAATCTTTGTACTTTCCACTCAGTTTTGCTGTGAACCTAAAACTGCTCTAAAAAATAAAGTCTACAAAAACAAAAAAAAGAGGGAAGAGGGACAGGTTGAGGTTGCAGGAAAGCCGAGAGGTGAGAGGGAAAGAGAGCCAGCTGCACCTGAGGTACTAAAAATGGGGTCTGTGTAGTTGGAGCACAGAGATTGGGGTTGAGTGTGAGAGATGTGGTGGAGATGTGTTGGGCCCCGAGGCCATGCGTCAGGACATTGGACATTATCTGTGGGGAGCCATAGGTTTAAGCAGGGATCAGATATGCTGATTAGAAAGTTCTTGCTAGCTGCTGTGTACAAGATGGATTGGAGGGGACAGAATGGATGTGGGGGACCAGCACGGAGTCGGGCAGTGGCAATGTGGAGGGGAGCATGGAGTCAGCAGCCTGGGCTGGGTCCTGACACCACTTTCTCCCCATTTGCTCCTGTAACCTCCCAGAGTTTGTCCGGATGATGTCCCGCTGAAGCGGCGAGGACCCCTCCAGGACTGCCAAGCTCCCACAGGCAGGGAGAAGAGGAGCCAGAGCTCGCCTTACCTTGCCGTAGCCGCCGAGAGCCCAGGATGTACTGGCGGATGGGGCCTGCTTGCACCCGGGGAGGTGCCTGTCCTGGACCCCCCACCCTTCCGCACTGTGAAAGACTCACAACTCCTGCAACTGGAAAAGGGGGCGCCCGCCAACGAGGAGGCCACAGTGCCAAGATGGCAGAGGTCATGCCAGGCGCCAAGTGCCATGTACCCAGTCGCTGCTGGCTGGGTGGGCCAGGGAGCCCGCCAGCAGACCCTACACAGCATGTCCGCCCCGGGGCACAGCCTCTTGCCACCCTCCTTACCTCTGTGCCCATCCCAGCTCGCCTCAGCCCTATTATCTCAGAACCAATAAAAACATTTCCAAGAGAAAGACAGCCATGGAGGGCTTTGCTTCTTTGCCTGGTCAGGTGACCCAGATTTCCTGAGCATCAACTGCACACCCAAAACTGGTGGAACATTCCTGCATTCAACATGCATTTATTGAGTACCTACTGTATACCCAGTGACTTCCACTCTCATTCCATAGGCCAGAACCTGGTACCTCTAACTGAAAGGGAGACTGAGGAATGTAGTTATAGCTGGATATGCAGCTGCCCCAACAAAATCAGGTTCTGTAAGAAGAGGATAGCTATTGAGTAAGCTTCTAGCAAGATCTGCACCACTTTCTGTCTTCCTGGAGCTTTTATACTGGGCAGGGAGACAGACATGACATAAACACATCCATATATGATTGCAAATTATGTGATACTTCTATTAAGAAGAAATATAGAGATCTTCAGCAGGGTATAATAAGGACACCTGGCCTACTTGGGAGGTCAGGGAAGGCTCTCCTTAGGAGGTGATAACAAGGGTTTTGCCCTGAAAGAAATCCCAGTGTGTGTGAAGAGACAGATGTAGAAATAGCTGCCATCCTCTCTGTTGAGTAGAAAGCAGATATATAGTGGATAGGCCCTGGGTTTGCCTGCTGTGTGACTTGGGGCCAGTCCTGTCTGCTCTCTGAATTTCTGTTTTCTCACATGTAAGACAGGGATAGTAAAGGATGAGGTCAGTGCTCAGTAAGTGCTCTCAGGGCATTGCATTGCACGCCTCTAGGGGCTGCTGTTCAGACTACAGTGGAATTGTGCAATGTGGCAATATTGAATGGATCCGTTGTAATCATTATAATTAATTTCTATAAGTGGAGTGGTGAAGGAGCCCAAAGGAGAAGTTTGTGGGTAGAAGTTGCCCATACTCTTGGGGCATACTTGGGCAGATGTACAGGGTGGCAAGTGCACTCCAGGTCATTGGATCTCAAACTTTAACATGTGTAAGAATCACCTGGAGGATCTGTGAAGCCACAGATAAGAGCCCTGCCCCGGTATTCTGATTCTGTGTTTGGGGTGGGTTTCATAAATTTGCATCTCTAACGAGTTCCCACAGGATGCTGATGCTGCCAGTCCACGGACCACAGTCTGAATACACTGCTGTGAATCCCAGACATGTGTGCTTCTGGGCAGCTGGAAGAAGCTATGGGACTAAAGACTGGAGCTGGGAGGTGGGTGGCGCACCCCCTGCATCTTGTGCTGCAGCAGAGGGAGGATCAGGGAATGTAAGATGTGAGCCCAGCCAGAGGCCTGGATAATCCCTATGTTCCTGAAGTCAATGGGGCTGGGAGTTCCAAAATCACTCTAATAACCCAATTCTGAAATTAAGCCCTTGGCTCTGAGCCCTGCTAGTCAGGCCTGCAGCCCTCCTGCCCCATACCAGCTTAGATCTACCCAGAGACTCCAAGTCTATACTGTTTCAGAAATGCAATGGCCTTGGAGGGCAATTTGCAGAAAGAGGGCTTCTGTGACATCTCTGTCAGCTGGCACAGTGAGCCCCCCAGAACACCACAGGGAGAGGGTAGAGTTAGGGGTAAACTAGAACACCTCTGTCCCCAGTATGTGGCTTCCTAAAATCATAGACATGGTGTCACCTCTCGCAGAGTGACAGAGACGCAAAAGATTACTCAGAGCCTATGTATTCAGAGCAATGAGAAGCCCGAAGGGGCTGCACCCAGGGAAAACTCCTTCAATAGAGCCCAGGCACAGCCCCGAGAGCCTATGTATTCAGAGCAATGAGAAGCCCGAAGGGGCTGCACCCAGGGAAAACTCCTTCAAGAGAGCCCAGGCACAGCCCCGAGTCAGGTTTTGCTTCAGTTTTTATTGTACAGGCAAGAAAGTTACAGAAGAAACACAGTTGGTTAATCAATCATAGTGAAAACATAAACAAACTGGCTACATGACAATCTTCATTAAAGCAGGTGTAACTTAAAATAGTTCAAGCAATTTACCATCAAAAGGAGTCATAAAACTAAGCTATGTGACATACAAAAAGAAACAATGAAATAATCACCATAGCAGCGCTTAGCTCCCTAAGAAACATAAAGAAACAGCAGAGGGTAAGATGTGGAACGTCCCCCAACCACTAACTAACAGAATAGCCTTGAAGATTTTAGCTCACATACTTTTCCATCATTTAGGTTTAGCTGTGCTTCAATTCTCTTATCTACATCAAAGGCTTTAGTCCTGTTGAAAGTTTTCTGGTCTTTCCTAATCTTAGCATTTCTACGTGTATTCCTAAAGAGTTGGGCTTTGGCTTGAACTAAGGACTTTGGTCCTTCTATGCTATAGGCTTTGGCCCTGTGAAATACATGTGTTTTATTTCTATCTCATTAATGTCAATATCCTCCACAACATAGCAGCTGTGATAAAGGGACTTGAGAATATAGCCAGGCCACTGCTCAGAGGACCTTACTGCTTAGGGCAAGAAGAGGCCCTGGGGCTGGGCTTCTGCCCCCCCATGCTGAAATCAGAACTCCTTCCTTTTAACTTGTCTTGTATTTTGGGGCTCCTGGAAAGATTGTTCAAAGAAAAGGTTCTGCAGCTTTTCAAGAACCGAGACACACTTTCCTAGGCAGGAATCCTTTCTGCGATCTGCACCACTACTTAAATACCACCCCTGGCGGAGAGCTCCATGTGTCTCATCTTAGAAGATCTCTCATAGTCTGAAAGTTCTTAAATTGAGCCCAGATTTGCTTCCTTGTGACTATAAAGTCCAATTTGCTTATTCATTCATGCATGCATCCAACTGGTATTTACTGAGCTCCTACTATGTGCCAGGCCCTGTGCCAGGGTCCCTATTCTCAAGGGGCTCAGACTCTCGTAGGGGAAAAAGATAAGGAAACAGACAAGTGTAGTGTAGTGGCATAAGTGCTAGTTACTAGTAGCACTTACTAAGTTAGGCCAGGAGTGGTGAGAGTACATAAAAGGGACCTTATCTTTAAAGATTAATTTTAGGTGTCAACTTGATTAGATTAAGGAATGCCGAGAAACCTGATAAAGCTATCTTTTTAGGTGTGTGCATGAGGGTGTTTCCAGAAGAGATTAGCTTGACAACCTGAGTGGACTGGGTGGGAAATATCCACCCTCACTATGGGTGGGAACCATCCAATCCACTAGGGGCCCGAGGAGGACAAAAAACGGAGAAAAAAGGCAAATCTCTATCTACTAGAGCTGGGAAACATTCTTCTCTCCTGTTTGTGTACATCAGAGTTTGAGACTCTTCAACTTTTGGGTTCCAGGACTCACATCAATGACACCATCAGCTTCCCTGGTTTTGAGGCCTTGGGACTTGGACTGAACCACGCTACCAGCATCCATTTTTTTTTTTTTTGTCTTTTTTCGTGTCCGGCAACGGATTGCAACCCTCAGTGTTGCGCCCGCACCGGACCGGGACCGGCAACGGGATCGCAACCCTCGGTGTTGCTCCTGCACCTCGCTCAGCCAGTGAG